GAGGGGCTTCAGCCCCCCCCCCCGAAATTCTCATGGTGGTTCGCGAAAAGACCTTACTGGTGCATTATTTAAACTGTTATGTTTATTCATATCATGATCTGATCACCATACTCAATATATCCCATATGCATGGGGGTATTGGGGTAACGATACAAAAGGTTTGCTAGGGTAGACCCTCTTTCACTCAGACTCCGCCCCCCCCCGAAACTCACCCCCCCAAAACCCCCCCTGAAAAAATCTCAGCCCCCCCCCAAATCGAAATCCTGGCTACGGGCCTGGAAGGGCCCCTTGTTGCTGGATGGTAGACTATATAGAATTCTTCATAGAATCAGAGAATCAGAGAGTTGGAAGAGACCTCATGGGCCATCCAGTCCAACCCCATTCTGCCAAGAAGCAGGAATATTGTATTCAAAGCATCCCTGACAGATGGCCATCCAGCCTCTGTTTAAAAGCTTCCACCACACTCTGGGAGCCGAGAGTTGAACGGCTCTCACAGTCAGGAAGTTAGGTTCTTGTGGGTTTTTTCGGGCTATAGAGCCATGTTCTAGAGGCATTTCTCCTGACGTTTCGCCTGCATCTATGGCAAGCATAGATGCAGGCGAAACGTCAGGAGAAGTGCCTCTAGAACCTGGCTCTATAGCCCGAAAAAACCCACAACAACCTAGTGATTCCAGCCATGAAAGCCTTCAACAATACATAGTCAGGAAGTTCTTCCTAAAGTTCAGATGGAATCTCCTTTCTTGTAGTTTGACCACTACAATGGCCCACTACATTTTTTTTAAAGATTGGCATGTTTTAGAATTTCAACCATCAATTAGATAATGAAGGAAATGGGTTAGAAAACCATTTTCATCCATTACTCATTCAAGACAGCTCTAGACATTTGCAGTAAGGTTCATTCAGGGAAACAAAGTATTTGTAAAGAACAAAATAGGAGAGATACTGCTGTGCTTCTACAGCTACAGCTATGCTTTTGATTACTGGGGCGAGGGGACATTCGTTGCCGTCACATCAGGTAAAGATTTAAGATTTCTTTCTTTCCTTTTCCTTGTTTCAGCTTTATTGGTTCTTGCATACATGTTTTTTGCAAAAAGAAATGATTCTGTATTTATTCCTAAAGATATGAAGATCTTCTAGGGACCTTTCATCCCTCATCTAAATTTGTGCATATTTTGTTTTTAGATACCGTTATAGCCTAGAATAGATATTTTCAAGGAAAATCAGATACTGTAGGAAAAAAATCTAGCCTTGTGCTCAAATCCAATAGCAAGGCTGGATAGGGCAATGACCACAAAATAGGGGAATGACCACAAAACAGATAAAGGTTTGGTCAATGTATCCATGGGTACTTTTGTCCAAAACATTGGGTAAGGAAGATTTACTGTGTGGCTGGGGTGATTTTGCTTATTGGGGTCAAGGCACTCCAGTTACCATTACGTCAGGTAAATATCTTACTTCCTAATGTTCTTATTTTTATTAAAGAGATTAATGCAGATTTTACAGAATAAAATAACCATGGGGTTTTAAATAAAATTTGATATGGAGTATTAGTTAGGGAGGCATTTGTTGTCACTGTTGATGGTGATTCCTTTAAAAATGTGTTTTTGCTGCAGCTACTAACTAGTGTTCAAAACATTATGTTCTTATGTAAAGACTCAGATATTTGGGGATTTTTTCCTCCTGAGATATGTTTTCTCATTGCCTTTCATCTTGACTTGTAACCTTTATTTCCGTTAGAAAAATCAAACTGCTTGAACAGTAATGTACAACCTAAATAGAACAGGATGGATTATTAAAACCTAAACTTTTTAGGATAGAAAAGAGTTCTGCTTATATGAGGGCTCTTCCTCAGCCAGTTGCATTGTCACAAGTTTTAAGATCTAAATCTCTGGGATTTTAGCATAGCTTTTTGTGTCAATTTCATGAAAAGATAGCATGGCAGAAATGTAAGTACCTCTGCCTTTGGACCATAATATGTAAAGCACCCATCTGTGCTTCATATGTGTTTCTAAACCTAGCCATGACCTGAGCATTAAAATCTCAGCTGAAAATAGTATCTGTGGTAGATGATAGATTTTACTGAGAGTGCTCTACAATTAATCAATTTACAAAACTGCTGGGTAAGAAAACAAACAATGAAGGAATTAGTTATCATTAGATTTTTTTCAACATATCAGGTGTGTGTGTTTGTCAGGAGCGTCTTGACAAACTGCAAGTCGCTTCTGGTGTGAGAGAATTTGCCGTCTGCAGGGACGTTGCCCAGATTATGCCCAGATGTTTTGATGTTTTACCATCCTTGTGGGAAGCTTCTCTCATGTCCCCACATGGGGAGCTGGAGCTGACAGAGGGAGCTCATCCATGCTCTCTCTGGATTTGAACCTCTGACCTGCCAGTCTTCAGTTATCTCAGTGATACTACTAGATAAATGTTCAGTGTTCTGGGTACAATTACCCCACTTATTTGTTAAATTCAGTAATTTTGTTCCATATATTTGTTGAAATTGATAGTAAAGTTTTGCAGAAAAACATTTCATAATGCAAGAGAGAAGATAGATGATAGACAGACAGACAGACAGACAGACAGACAGACAGATAGATGATAGATTTTTAATAGAAAACATCTGTATGAAGAAGTGACATTGCACAGAGAAAATGTACAACTAACACTAAAGAGCAACTCCCCCAAGTACAGGAGTAATTGAACCTTTGTGACCCTAACATTAAGTAAGAATTCCTAATCTATTTTGTTTAATTGTGAGCAATTGTGTCCCGTGTGTGATGCCTTTTGAAATGGTAATCACAAACCCAATAGCGCATTAGTGGCCAAAAATGGCTGAGCATCTACACTGTAGAATTAATGCAGTTTAATCCTACTTTAACTGCCTTGGCTTAATGCTACAGAATCCTGGAAGTTGTAGTTGGATGAGACACCAGCATTTTTTGGCAGAGAAAACTAAAGACCTTGCAAACTGCAACTCCCGGAATTCTATAGTATTAAATCATTGCAGTAAAAAGTTCTGTCAAACTGCATTATTTCTACAGTATAGATGCAACCCAAGACCAACACCTCAACATTTGTTCAGATGTCACTTAAAATGCAGGTCTAATTCAATGCTTAGTCACCCATTTCTTCAGAAACGTCCCCTAATATTATTTCACAAATAAGATAGGCAAGTATTTTAACCATCGTAAAGTGAATTTGCACACGTTACACGGAGTGGTCATATCTGTGACTGGGTGAAGGGGACCTGTTGAACAATGTTTTTGTGCCATGTTCTTAATCTGAAATACCTCTGTGCTACTGGTACTTCGATTACTGGGGGAAAGGAACCATGATGACCGTTACTTCAGGTAATAATTTTTATTCTGTAAATGTTGTAAATGTTTGTCCTTAATTAATCTAGTCAATGTGATTTGTTCAGAATCTTATCCCCAAAGTCTACTTTAGGGAGTCTTTTATCATTCACAATCAACTGATATTTGGTTTAGGGCTTGAAATCAGTTTCCAAGATCTGTATGAATTAATGCTATATTCAAAGGCAGAATTTTTGTTCATCATCTACAGTTCTCAATTTGTCTAGTATCTGCGTAATGTGAATAAGTACCAGAGTAAATGGGTGGATAGACTTTGGACCAAAGTGGGTAAAATCAAAGAATGTATTCATGAGAATTGGACTGCCGGTGGATCAAATGATTCTATGATTCTATGAAATGATAACAGAAAGTTTGGTTGAAAAGTATCTTCAGAGCATAAACCTCAAGGCTCAATATAGTTTCTCATGAGTAAATTCTCCAAAAGCCATGCAATCTTTCTATGGTAGTAGGAACTCCTTTCTGCTTGAAAGGGCCCCAATTTGCTCCAAAAACTGCGGGTCACGTTTTTGGGCGTCTTCAAAAAGAGATTTAATCAGTGTGATTACGGAGTATTCGACCACTGGGGAAAGGGAACCCAAGTCCTTGTCAGCCCAGGTAAATATATATACGATATTCTTAATTATTTCTCTCAGTAAAAGGTTGTTTTGAATTTGGACCTGTTTTAGCACTGGGTGTTTTGGAGATTACATATAGTCCAATTTCTTTCTATCTATCACTTAATTCTGTTGAGAGAGTTCACAGAGCATTGCTTTTTGCCTTTATCAAGAAGGAACTGTTATCGTAACCTCCCTTGGTTTATTGAGGCCCCTTTCACACAGCTGAATAAAATCCCAAAACTGGAATATATGGCAGTGTGGACTCAGATATCCCAGTTCAAAGCAGAAATTGTGGGAATTTGTGCCTTGATATTCTGGGTTATATGGCTGTATGGAAAGGCCCCTGAGCAAACCCTATTTTCTTTTGTATGCTGATCAATACTTCCTAGTGTTCAGGTTAACTCTGGATCAATCACTTTAAGAATAGCTAATAATTAATCTATTACTTTATTTATTCGGATCTCTTTGAACCTAGAAATTTATTTCACAAGCACAACAGATAAAGGAAGGAAAAAATCTCTCCTACATAGTATTGTAAAGGAATAGTTTCTTTATCCATGTCTAGTTAGGATTTTGAACACTACTCAATAGCGAATTGAGCGGTGTGTTACTACGATTACTTCGACCATTGGGGAAAAGGGACCCAAGTAATTGTCAGTTCAGGTAAGAAAACTACTACTTATTTCCACCTGTAAAAATATTGTTTGAAATGCTCGTTCTTCTAAAAGTTAGGGTTTTTGTTGCTATTAAGAAAGATGTTTTGTTTTTGCTCCAGCATGGCTTGGAATCATATTAAACTATTCAAGAGCTTTTTTCAGTGCTCTGATAGAATTTCACTGAACACATTCATACATAGTAGAAAAACATGAGGGCTCATAGAAAACAGAAATTAATCTATTGTGTAAACTCCGGGGTGATCGAATCCACAGCCTCATACTTCACAAAGCTACGTTTCAGTGCAAAGTTGAGAGATTTTACTTATATTTAATCCAAATGGTTTTTGTTATCATGGCACTGGTAAATTGGTCAGTGTGATTACTACGGTGCTTTTGATATCTGGGGCCAAGGAACACCTGTGACTGTAACTTCAGGTAAAGATTTCCCATTCTTTGTTTTCTATTGATTTGAGGATTTAATCCAGATCTTTTCCAATATTTTCCAGGAGGTTTTGATGATTTTGTTTCTTGTTTTAGTGGCCAAAATGCAAGGTTGAGATAGAGACTTGGATCTCTTTTATGTGGAGGTAAAAGTGGGAAAACGGGGTGCATTTACATTGTAGAATTAATGCAGTTCGATGTCACTTTAATCAATGGTATGGAATGCTGAAAGTTGTAGTTTTGCAAGGTCTTTTGCCTTCCCTGTCACTGAACTACAGCACTCACCATACTGCAAATCCCAAAATTGCATCGCATTGAACCATGGCATTTAAAGTGATGCCGAACTGTATTATTTCTACTGCATAGATGAACTCATAGTCTTAATGAATGGAAAAGAATATTTAGTTGTGTGTGAAGCCATAATATTGAATGAAAAGACAGCACAGCAGATCTCACATCTATAGTGTTTTAAGCTCTAGGATTTCTTTTCCAACCAGAGCCATATTACCCAGAATATCAAGGCAGAAAATCCCACAATATCTGCTTTGAACTGGGTTATCTGAGTCCACACTGCCATATATTCCAGTTCAAAGCAGAAGGAGCCTCAAAATTACCCTAATTTCAAGATCGTAGGCCTCTGGTATCTCTGGGTTTGAGGATAATATGTTCTAGTCACCTAAGGTAGAAATTATGACCACTGTGTGACTTTTACTACTGGGGCCAAGGAACCATGGTCACAGTAAGCAGTGGTAAGTTTCATCTACTTCTTCATTCTGTCTACAATTTTCTGTAATTTTTAAAAAAGAAACAAATGAATTTTTGATGAAATTAATGCTTGGTAGTCACATTGGCTACAGAAATATGAAACTTTAAAAATCTGAACAATGTATGACTCCAAACCATAACCCAAGAAGGGCATTTGATCAAGAGAAGAGAGTTCCTAAAAGTAGATGTTTCTTTCCATTGATTCCCCAAATTTTTAATTATAAGACTCAAATCCTAAAAGAACTACCGTTTTATCCTGTCGCACCAAAAAAGCTACAGAATCTTCTGGCAATTGAAAGGTTAAGATTTTCCTGTGGCTTAAGCCACAAAGTCTATATAAGCTTTTGCTGCAAAAACTTGGGTTTCCCAGCCTTTATTCAGTCAGAAAGAGCTTTGTTGTTTCAAAAATGATTGTATAAGGGATGGTTACTACTTCTGCAGACAAAAGTGTTTTTGTGCATGGTCTTGAAAGAACTGAGGCAATGTGTCGAGTTTGACTATTGGGGGAATGGGACCTCACTCCTCGTTTCTTCAGGTATGTTTTCAATTCCTTTTAAACCTATTTGTGAAATTTTAAGTGAAATTTCGGGAAAAAGTTGGCCTTGTGAATTACAATTTTTTTGGAGACTTTACCAGGAGTCTAGAATTCCAATTAGGGGGACAGAGGAAGAGTCATTGTATTATTACAACTCTCTCAGAAGGCAAAAAACAAATATATTGGGAAGGCTCCAATGTTATTGAATGCATAGTCTCATTTTTCAAAAAGCTATGTTTCAGTGCAAAACTAAGAGATTAAAATTGCAACACTAATTCAGTGATATACTTGGATTTAAACCCAGTGCTTTTTGTTCTTATGGTGCCCACAAATTAGTCACTGTGATTACTATGCTTTTGCTTACTGGGGCCCAGGAACATTTGTGGCTGTAAATTCAGGTAAAGATTTTTCCATTCTTTGTTTTCCGTTGATTTGGGGATTTAATCCAGACCTTTTTCTGTATTTGCCATGAGGTGTTGTTGTTTTTTGTTGTTGTACATTTGTTTCTTCTTTTAATTGTCCAGACACAAGATGCGGATAGGGTCTTGGCATGGGGAAATACAGTGGACTTAATTAATACCACAGCTCAATACTATGAAATCTTGAAATTTGTAGTTTTGCAAATCCTTTCTCCTTCTTTGCCAATGAAAAATACACTACTCTCCAAACTGCAAATTCCTAGGTTCCATAGCATTGAGCCATTGCAATTAAGCGTAGTTGCTCCAAAAAGTATTGCAGAAGGGTCTTCGGTAGTTAAAGGTGTTCCGTATGAGGTTTTTGTGCATAGCCTCAAAAGATCTGAGTCAATGTGACTACTTCGATTACTGGGGGAATGGGACCCCACTCCTCGTAACTGCAGGTATGTTTTCAGTTCCTTTTAAACCTGTTTATTATTCTGTTTTATGGAATTTTTTTAGTGAAATTTCTGAAAAATTTAACCTTGTCTATTGGGAATTTTCTGGACTCCAGCATTCCCACTGGAGGACTATGTTCTAGTTTTACTATGAGAGAGTCCCATTTTCTTCCATTTGTCTCCAATTTAAGTTTAAGGTTTGGCCGCTTTCAGGAGTTAAAATTTCAGACTGGAAGGACATTTATTCTGATCCTGAAAGACAACTGCGATGTTCTTTAAGACTCATAAAAATCACAAACTCAATTTTGCTCAAAAAATAGTTGGTATTGAAGTCTATTATGTTGGCTTGAGATTGTGATCTGAAGCTGGTATAGACTTTTTTTTTTACCTACCCAATCAGTGAAACAGTCTTAAACTGCAAAGTAAATTGGTTTTGATCAGAGTTATCATGTCTGTTTCCATGGAAATCAATACTAGGGAATTCCTTCTAAGTAAATGTGCTTAAAAATGAGGAAAAACGAAGTGATAGGATTCCACAAGGTTCTTGCAATATGTCCCTATAAAAAAAGTCCACTGTGATAACTGGTTTGACGCCTGGGGAGGTGGCACCTTGGTCACCGTTTCTGCAGGTAAAAAATCTTCTTTCTCTTGAATTAAGGCATAATTTTAAATTACTCTGAATGTTCGTTTAAAACCTATTGTTATCATTATTTGGATCTGTTATGTTTTCTGTTTGCAAGAATCCAGAAAGATTGTTGTTTACAAAATATAATTAAGTTGTATTCTGCAGAAAGATTTGGGCGCCTTAGTGGAAAATATACATAAATTTGGAATTTTATTATATAGATCCTATGAGAACCTAAAGGGAGATAAAGTACTTTTATTGAGGGAACAGAGAAAGAAGATAATCTAAATTATAGGCTTTTCTTGATATTATTGATGTCCCTGGTAACTATAGAGAATGCTCTGTAGTATGAGTATAGCAATTGCATGTGTGTATGACCACGGCTTTCGCAACTGGGGAAAAGGAACCATGGTTATCATTACTTCAGGTAAATCAGTATTCTTCCAATTCAGAACCAATTTCAACTGCAACTGAGTAAATGGAGTTTGTTTCGGGAGGGATACAGTCTCCCGCAAACAAATCCATTCTCCCAGTGTTTTGGTTTTAGCAATCTTCAAATTATGTTATTTACCATGGGGAATGGGGTCTTGTACTCTTTTCTTGACTTCTTAGTCTTTGTTGCTATTGTTCGCTGATTGAAAATCTATGCACTGAAATCAAACAGCGTTTTTAGAGTAACCAACGTTCAGAAAACATATTTGAAAATGAAATTTTGTCTATCTATCCACTGTTTGTTTCTCGTTACTTTTTCATGTGTTCTGCAATCTTTTCATTGAGTTCTACCAATCTGGACGTTAATTCTAAGTTTCCTTCTTAATGCTGGATTGCTTTAACAGTCTATCATAAAACTAACTGTATTAGTTTATACTGACAAATCCAGGGTTGGATCCCAATTGAATCATACTTAAGAGTAAATTAAAATAAACCAATGGGGATTTAGTTTGTCCAAACAGTTTAAATTAGTCTACTTGAAATAAATAGGTTTTGAATGGGTTTTAACTGTTTATTTTTAATACTGTTAATATTTAATTCTATTTTAATGTTTGTATATTGTTAGGCTTTAAATTGTATTGTACTGTAAGCCGCTTTAAATCTCTTTTGTAGAGGAAAAGTGAGGTAGAAGCAAAAATCATCATCAAAAATACAGATATAAATTGGGCCAGCCAAGATTATTGTGACCTCATAAAACTTTATGGACTAACCTTTGTAAGAAAAAGATTACTTTATCAAATGAATGAAGTCTTCATATGCATTGGGTGAAGTAGGTTCTTTCCTAAAACTCATATAACCTTAACATTAATGAATTCTTTGAAAAATACATCTTCCTTTATTCTTTCTTTTATTCTTAGATCTAAACATTTTAATTGGGATTTTTCATTCATAAGAGAATTGTAATTTTCGGGTGTTTAAAGTCTTCTTTTTTCATCATGGGGTGAATGCTATCATTGAAATAGATTTTGGGTACTCACAGCACAGATTAAGCCTTTCAGTGATAGCATCATACATTTGAAACACATCCAAAAAGTCTTATTCAAAGCAATAAATTATTTTTATTATTATTTATTAATAACATAGTGATAATAATAATTAATAACTAATAATCATATTGTGATCTTATTTGCTGTGTACTAATAGTGTTGTGTTTCTGATAATAATAATAATAATAATAATAATAATAATAATAAAAACTTTATTTATGTTCCTCCCTATCTCCTTGGAGGGACTCGGGGCAGATTTCAAACACAAAAGGCAAACATTCAATGCCTAAATATAATAACAATACACCCATAATAACAAAAATTTACAAACTAACATATAAAAGCAAATTATAACTTAACAACTAAAATTAAATGAAAAATGCAACCTATTATATCAGACATGAAAGAAAACATCAAAGTGCCAAAATGCTAATTAATATGCATCTAAATACAAAATCAGTATAGACATTAATAAAAGATTTTAATGGGCATTGGGTTATTTTCTCCCTTTTGCTAAAACTAAAATGGCTGATTAGAAAACAGGGATATTCCAGGGCAAATGAAATAACAGGTGTCTGCAGTTTCATTTCTCAGTTTCGAGTTTATTTTAGAATGCCTTGTTCTGCTTGACAGCTTTTCTAGTATCTAGAGTCATTTTTGCATGGTTGAGCGTAGTCCTGAATGTTTCGAAAACAACACTGTAACACCTGTTTTTGTAAGATTTCTGTTTTTCATTCC